ATAATATATTAAAGGAGAAATCATATTGTTTAATTAATATTAGTCAATAATTAATTGGTAATTAGTTTTGTGACTAAAAGAGATTAATTAAACTTAAGGGACTGGAATTGTAATTATAAGATAATTGCAATTTGGGCCATGGATTGCCTTGTATTAAGGGATGGACGAATTCTAATGGGAAACCCATAAGGAAATCGTCCATGGGCTTAATTAAAGGAGTCTATGGGTTGCTTAGGGCTTAAGCATCCAAATTAGGGTTTCCTTGTTAGATAACCCTAATAGCCCAACTATATAAAGACCCCTTAAGGCTCAAAAACGTGGCTAATGTTCTTGTAAGGGTTTACACACGGTTTTGGCAGCCTCCATCCTCTCTCTTCATCCTCTTGCTTATGGTGTTTGTGAACCATTAGAGGAGTGACACTTGTGACTCTAAGCCTTCCAAAAGTCATTACAAGGAGATTTGGGATTGTTATTGCTACATAACAATCAAGGTATGATCTTAAACCTAATTACATGTTAATATGATTACTTGCATACTAGAATTAGGGTTTATAGTCTTGGATTAAAAGCATGTACAATAGAGAAACCTAGATCCAAGCATTAGGGTTTGTATGAGCACATAGGATGTCTTATGACCAAAACCCAACAGTGGTATCAGAGACTTGATTGGTTTCTATTGTATTGATGCATATTTGATCGTAATAAGCACTGAAAATCGATTTTTTGAGTTTTGAAGGTTTGACTCGCCGAGTCACTTGGTGAACTCGCCGAGTCAGCTGATCTCGACGAGTCCAAGCCCGACTCGACGAGTCAAAGTGTCTGACAGCTCGTTTTCGCGATTTTCTTCCTGTTTTGGTTTTGGATAATTACCATAAACTCGTTTTTGTGATAAAATCCGAATTTTTTCATTATTATGTGATTATCCTTACCTAAATAGAAGATAATTGTCAAAATTTAGATAATCACTTGTTTTATTAGATAAAGTTTGATTATTTGTAATTTAGATTTGAATTATCTTGTGAAATAGTTTCAATTTTCCCCTTTAGGTTTTATAGTTTAAATTTGAACCCAAAAGTTTTGAAGTTTTGAAATTTAAATAGTTAAAACCCTAATGTTTTGAAAAAGGTTTCAAAACTTGCCCTCAAGTTTTGGAATTTAAAAGTTGATTAAAAGTTTAATTAGAAATGTTAAATTCTAAAACTCTAGTAATGTTTTGAAAAGTTCAAATCACACCCTTATGGTTTTATTA